CCATGCATCCTTATCTTATGCAGTAGCCTCTTGTGTGGCACCTTGTCAAAGGCCTTTTGGAAATCTAGGTACACCACATCCACTGGGTCCCCATTGTCCACCTCGCTCATAATGTCTTCATAGAATTCCAAAAGATTTGTCAAGCATGACCTGCCCTTCATGAACCCATGCTGTGTCTGTCCAACAGGACAATTTCTATCAAGATGCCTTGCTATTTCTTCCTTGATAATAGACTCAAGCATCTTCCCCACTACAGAGGTTAAGCTAACCGGTCTATAATTCCCCATCTTTTGTCTACTTCCCTTTTTAAACAGTGGCGTCACATTTGCTGTTTTCCAATCTGCTGGGACTGCCCTAGAGTCCAGCGAATTTTGGAAAATTACCGCCAGTGCACCTGCTATTTCTCCCGCCATCTCTTTTAGTACCCTGAGATGCATTCCATCAGGACCAGGAGACTTATCAATCCTTAGCTCCATTAGCTTGCCCAACACTACCTCTTCCGTAATTATGATTGTTTCCAGCTCCTCACCTATCTTCGTCTCTTTGTCAATTACTGGCATGTTATTAGTGTCCTCCACTGTGAAGACCGATACAAAATACCTGTTCAATGCCTCGGCCATTTCATCATATCCCATAACTAAATTCCCCTTCTCATGCTCTGAAGGGCCAACATTTACTTTAGCCACTCTTTTTCGTTTTATATATTTATAGAAACTTTTGGGTATGGGTAGTAGAAATTTTAATGAACCGTTGTTCAGACTGTGCAGGATGAAAAGCTGACCAGAAAATGTATAGGAATAGTTACTGATGAGAATTTCAGCAGGAGGTGGGATAAGGTAGGAGAGAACACAGACAGACTACAAAAAAATGCTCATTCAAATGACTACTGCAAAACCAAGTACAAATGTTCTTCAAATTGCAAACCCACTGCTTTGAATATGAAAGTTTGACTTAAGAGAGACCTTTGTAAATTCATCGGGTAGTTACATATAAAGTTATAGTCTAATCCCTCTAAGAGATACAACATCAAAAAAGTAAGCACTTCTGTACAATATTAATTGAAATTTTGGATGGTGCAATAATTACTGCTATTTTACCAGTTTGGTGGTACAATTCACTGACATCGGTTAAAGTAGTAATTAGTAGTAGTTTAGACATGATAATCTTAGTTCCATACACATGGCACTAGTAGTAACTATAAAGTGGCTGCTAATCATCTAAGTAATTGAAAGACAGGTACAGATTAGCTACTTGTTGATGTCCTGAAGATTTACATTTCCAGTAAATCTGCTATTATTTCTTCAGGCTGATGCAAAATAAAGTACGCAAAACAATGGCAGCAACTTAAGTCAGAAGCAGATAGTATAATCCAATTTTACAGAATTTGCATGTTGGTTATAGAGCTAACATTTCACATGCCTAACTTACTTCAAAAACATGTAAATGGCCTTTGAAAGCAAATGTTTAAAGCTAAAGCCCTTCTTGCCAGCTCTATGACTACAGGAATTATCAGGTCAAAGAATTAGTACAGGTATGCATAAAAGGATTAGGCTGCAATAAATTTGACAACTTTATTTCAGTGCAAATTTGCACACTAATTTTCCACACAAAAATGGAGTTATTCCTTTAAGTAGAATTAATAATGCAACATAACACAAAGTACACTGCATAGAATATGCATTCACAAGTTGGGCTCAAAAACCTAAATCCATCACAATCTACTAGAAGCAAGAAAATACTTAGCAGCAGCAGTAAGTGCATCACTAATACTTGATGTGCTTCTGCACTGACAGTGTAGACACCTGTAATTAATATTTATACTATACTGTCTGAATAAGGAAACCTTTGAAAAGGTTCAGTTCTGCATGACAACTCCCAGTGAGACCTGTAACATTACAAACTTGCGTTCCTTTGGCATACTAGACATGGCTCATACTTACTTTGAAATTTTCTGAGGTTGATCAGGCCATGGTCTCTCAAAATTCTGTGGAGGGAGTAAGATTCTCCTGTCACAAATTATTTTCTAAATTATTGGGAAAATCAGATCACTTCTAGATGAATACATAGTATCATAGGTTTTAATGATGGAAGTGTCTTTTATAACATTTATAACTATTAAAAATAAGCTGAATACATTAAGTCAGTAACACTGTATCACAAGGGATTAGAAGGGTGGGAAAATATGGATGTAAACAAATCTCACTATTTCAGTCAAATACACCACAAGCGACCTTATATGAAAATTGGCCTTTGTATAGTGTTAGAATGTTCTGCAGCTGTGTTGAATCATAGGGTGGAGAAATACAGATTCTTACAGCTAAAACATAGCAAGGTGGCGCTGTATAGAGATCATTAACTTTACTACACTGCTTGGGGAGGTGGTGTAGGACAGATCATCTGATGATTTGAACAGAAAATGGATAGCCTATTCCACAGCTATTAAGTAATCTCATGCAACATTCCAAACTGTGTCCCATGAATTTCACGCAGAATACAATTTGCTGCTTGGGAAAAATAATTTTGCAAAATAATCTCTGGAAATCAGTTTATGTTATGTTTAAATGTCATGCAGCAGGATAGGGCTATTGTTAAAACCAAATGACACCATGTAACTGTTTATGTGCATGCTCTGAAAATGTCAGTTCTGAGCATACTGGAGGAGAAGTTCAGGAATTAAGTGCACTAATTTCACATTGAGAAAACCAGCAGTACAAAGCATTAAGCCAGACGGAACAATACAGGTAGAGTGCATCACATTTGATCAGTGTTGGCTATCCCTTCAAATGTTTTCATGTATATTACAACATTTCAGACACACTTAATTTGCTCTTAAGTAATCTGGAATGTCCTGAAGCCACATATTTATTTCTAAATAATGCAATTTAGAAGTAGGTTGCAAGCAGTTGGTAGACATAGACAGAGAGGTGACAGTGGTAGAAAAATAAAATTAGTTTGCTGCAGCACAAGCTGTTTTGTTCATTTTGACAAACACACTGCCACCAACTACTCAACAATTTACTTTTCGAAAATATTAAATGTGATTTAACTGTAGACAGTAAAATGAAAAGATAAAACATCAAATTCTTGTTGTCAACACTGTAAAGTCTACTCTGTACTCTCAATTGTACAGCTTGTTATCTTTCTGTCTAGAATGATTAATTCTAAGGCAAAGGGCCTCTGTTTCCGTTTCTGTTATAAACATTTAATGGCTTTGGTAAATAATGAAGACTGTGGCTATATCACAGTTGTGGTAAACTATCATGGCTAGTTTACATGTTTACATTACTGGAAAACCTAACCTAGCAAGACTTCTCTATTCATATTTTAAAAATGTATTATTGTATTTCTGCCTTTAATGCAGAAAACAATCACTGAATCAGCATTACAGACATATGCAATGCAACATAACAAACCATCTTGTAATGTTTTAGTACGACAATGTCAAGTGGAATATTGCTGATAAACCGAGGGATATGAAACAGCAACTTATTTTCACAGTTAAAAGAAAACAGAAAAGCGAATTGTGTATGAAAACTGATTTAACAAAATCAGGAGTAACTTACTTTTTTCTTCGTTGTCTCTCTTTTAATCTGGAATAATAGATATCAACCACTGCAAGTTTCAAAGCTGTTCAAACAAAGTGCAAAAAATATTAAAATGATGCAGGGGTTACCTAAGGAAATACCAACATCCAATTATCAGATGAAGAATGAAACACTGAATTACAAAATAAACCAACAGACGACATCAACAGTGAAATGCTGCCTTCAATGCAGTTTTTCATTAAAGACATTTTTGGGTAAAGCCATTTCAATATGCTCTAGGTATAAGGAGTCACAAAGCAGATGTGTTGCATTAGCATTACATCACACTGCATTACCATAAGGGGAAATTATACTTGGTGACTGGAAAATGGCTCTGATGCAAAGAAACATCACCATTTTTATAATTCTTCAGTAACCATACACATTTTGTTTGTAATACAGGGTGCCTGCAAATTAAATCCAACAGTAACACAAAAGATTTCTGGACTAATTTAGACAAAATGACTACTTTACAACGGCATGTTATCATAATGGACAGCAACTGGCAGTTTGCTTTGTACAAAGCAGAATTAGAAGATTCTATTTGCAAGAAGGAATACTGTTTGATGGGGATTACAAGGCTAACAAAAGAATTTTATCGATCAAAGAACTTACCATGCAAAATATCAGAGTCATCTTCTACAAAATCAATATCCCTCAAATCCCATTCTGCGTAATTGTCAAATTCCTGTATCAAAAATATTAATTTTAATACTGCTCAAATATTTTTAAATCTTTCAACAAAAAAGTAATGTGAAAAGCAGAGATGTAATTGCTGCAACTTTCAGTTCCAGGCAACCGGCCAGCTGCAAAAACCTGCTGAACAGCAAATATACAAGAAAGTAAATCCATAATTCCATGATCTACCGGCATTTGTGATCAATGTTGTTACCTTGATTCTCCAATACCCTAGCATGTCTCCCTGGGTGTCAACCTTATTCCTATAACTGTCAAAATCAAAGATATTGGCATAATTTAGTGCAAAGGTTAAAATGGGGCACTGCTGTACAACAAAATGCTACACTGCACTCAACAGCAAATCATTTTTGGTGGGGATAGTGGAGGGAGCAAAATTGAGTGTTAACTAAGTATTAATACAGAAACAAAAGCAGCTAACTAGCTAACAATCAAACAAAACCTCTCTAATTAACTTCTAGCTATTTTAAAACTAACATTATTAGGATGCAAAAGTACAATGGGTGTTGATAGTCATCACCACAGAAAGCCTTTTTACTTGCAAGACTAAAGTCAGTGTTTAGTGATTGTGTAAAATCAGTCATTTGCAGAATGACATTATATAAATTATACAGCACAAACAGTTAGGCCTAACTTGTCTGTGTTGTTATTTATGCTTTTAATTCAGGATGTGGGCATCACTGACAAGAGAAGTATTTCTTGCTCCTCCCAAACTGAGCTTGAGAAGGTGTAACTGTGTGAACTGAGTAGCTTGCAAAGCCATTTTAGAAGGCAGTAGGTTTGGATCACCTATCAGTCAGACCTGTTTAGGGCCTAAAGACATTGGTAAATCAATTATGATTTTTATGACAGTCTTCCAATTTCACATTCAGAATTATTGATGCAAGCTTTTATTGACAGATTTATTTAATTAACTGAATTTAAATTCACCAATTGTCATGGTGCAATATGAAATCACTTCTTCAGAATATTAGTTCAGGCCTCTGGATTACTAGCCCAATAACATAAAACACTGTGTCACAGGACGGCAGCCATTAAGAGATGTATGATAGGAGTTGGATGTGACTTTTCACATACTTGTTATTAACTTACTTTCCTTCAGTACCACCCCCACCACACCCAAAAATAAAACTGGCTACACTAAGATATATAAGGAGTTCCTACAAGATATTCAAACCCTACTGTGGTGTCAACATACTGAAACCCATGTCTATGGGCCAAACATGGTTTAAGGTCCTCCACAGGTAGGGGATAGCTTATTTAAAAACGGAAATGTTCTACTCACTTCACATTCCACCTAGTTCAAGCATGTTCAAGTCTTTTGCCTCTTAGCCATTTACTTGTATCTTGTGGAACAGAGGAATCAGATATAATTGCTCTGCTCTTGTTTGTTTACATACATTCAGAGATCTTGGGTCTCTCTAAATTAGGCTTTATTCAGTGACGAGGTCACTGCTATGGACACAAGCTTTTCCAAACCTCTAGCTTTACATAATTGAAACAAGAGAACTTTGCAAGTACAGGAATCATGTTGTGAAACTTGAAAGGGTTCAGAAAAGATTTACAAGGAAATTGCCAGGGTTGGAGAATTTGAGCTACAGGGAGAGACTGAATAGCCTGGGGCTATTTTCCCTGAAGTGTTGGAGGCTGAGGGGTGACCTGATAGAGGTTTATAAAACATGTTGGGCATGAACAGGGTGAATAGCCAAGGTCTTTTTTCCAGGGTAGTGGAGTCCAAAACTAGAGGATCTGGGTTTAAGGTGATAGGGGAAAGATTTAAAAGGAACCTAAGGGGCAACGTTTTCACACAGAGGATGGTGTGTGGATGGAATGAGCTGCCAGAGCAGGGGGTGGACGCTGGTCCAATTTCAACATTTAAAAGACATCTGGAATGGGATATAAATAGGAAGGGTTTAGATGCTGACAAATGGGATGAAGTTTACTTAGAATATTTGGTCTGCATGGACGAGTTAGACCAAAGGGTCTGATTTCATGCTGTACATCTCCATGACTCGACCCTGGTGCTATCCATTAAATGCATTTATGCCACGTGACTCAATTACTTGTTCACATTCAAATCAGTCTCTGGGTTTTGCTTCTGTTTTTCTATTATTTACAAATGGTTACGTTTAACAATTGATTCATGAATTTGTTCTACAATCTAAGTAGAACAGACAACTTACTTCAACAAAGTCTGCTCGTGCTGGCATATATCCTGCCATATCTCTTGACACTGCAGAATCAAACGTTGGTCTGGGCGGATCATCACAAGCTGCAATTAATTGGGAAAAGCAAGGTCTGTTTTAGGGTAGTGGAATTGCATTTGAAGTGGAAGACCAAAAATTAGTTCTTAATGCAAGAAGATGGCAACATAAGATTCCTTCCAGCTCCAGGAAACCCAAGCTGTGTTTTACGATGAAAGGTTCAGCCCCAAAAAAATTACCTAATTTTCCCTTTCAGATGTTGATCGACCTTCTGCACCTTTCCAGCATTTTGTCTTTTATTTCAAATTGCATTTTAAAAAAAATCTCCAATAGAAGTCTATTTAACTAAGACCTATTCTGGTACAAGATTACAAGGTATTGAACAGTTATATATTATCCTGCAGCAGCTTTTCTTTGAAGACTAGTACTTCGATGCATGATGATCACAGATGGACACTGAATAGAAAAAGCTATTCAACTCAATGGCCATTGCAATTGAGCCCAACCAAGTCTAAACTTGATTTGATTCCCCATCCCCCTACCACATGACGAAGAAGATCGACAAACTAGCTGTGTTCAATGACCTAAACATCAAAGCCAACTGCATTAATTTCTACTGGCTATGAAAACAAAACACTAACTCAGCAGAAGCTGAAGATCTCCCTGGTCAATATAGCTGAACCATCAGGGTAAGTCCCATAACCATATGCATTTTCACTGGGCAGTCATAGTTCAGTCATTGAGGACATTGTTTTCCAGTTAGAATCTGAAATTCTAGTATCTCAAATTTAACAAATGCTCACCTCTAAATGTGATTGCTGTATCAAGGTCTTTGGTTTCTTCAGGCTGCTTCAAACTCAGTAATGTAGAAGAAAACAGCGGATTGTTGACAAAATGTTTCATGTAATGCTTCTCGCAATCTTCCTTGGATTTTGTACGCATCTGGTTGGCTACATCCTGCCTTCAAAAAAGGAATATTTTGGAACTGTTTTAAACTATAGTTAATAGGTTGCTACACATTTCTCCACTATGGTACTGGGCAGATGTCCTTCGTAGCTCAACAATGAACCACAAAGAACAAGGTTACAGTTTGTTTCTATCCAGACTTTGGTGCAATCTGCTGAACCAGCACAAAAGATCAAAAAATTTTAAACATACATAAGTTACAACAAAAAATAACTTGTTTCCTACAATCCTATATGCAAGTTTGACAACAACTTGCATTTAAATGGTGCCTTTAAAATAAAAAATATCCCAAGATGCTTCCTAATTCTGCTACCAATCAATGCTAGCATTGCACCATAGGAGATATCAGAAAGATGACCAAAAGCTGTGTCAAAGTAGGCAGGATTTAAGGAGCATGTTAAAGAAGTAGGGGCAGAGGGGAGAAGTTCAGTGTGTGGATTTCAGAGGCTCGATTCAAGGAGTTGAAAACATGATTACTAACTCCACAGCAATCAAAATCAAAGATATGCACAAGATGCGAGAAAGGCTCAGAGATCACATACCCATGTGGGACCGGTGAAGGTTCAAAGAATAAGCAAGGCAAGTCCTTGAAGGAATATGAAAACAAGGGTGGAAACTTTAAAATTGAAACTCAGTTTCAAATATGTCCCAAGGAGGGTAAGGAAACAATTACTACGGAATACAGTTTGTGGACAGAAGAAAACTATGGCGTTGGCCTTTCCAATATTCAGTTGGAGGGATTCTCTTCTTATTCAACAATGCATGCTAAACAAGTTCCTTAGCCAGCACCTTCCAAATCCATGACCACTTGCATCTAGAATGACAAGGGCAGCAGATACATGGGACTACCATCACCTGCAAGTTTCCCTCCAAACCACTCACCATCTTGCCCTGTAAATATATTGCTGTTCCTTTACTGTTGCTGGGTCAAAATCCTGGAATTTTAAATGTTGGCGATCATTTCAAGAGGGCTAGAATACAAGAGCAGGGATGTATTACTAAGGCTGTATTCGGCTCTTGTCAGACTGCATCTGGAATATTGAGAGCAATTTTGGGCCCAGTATCAAAGGAAGGATGTGCAGGCCTCCAGAGGGGGTTACAAGAATGATTCTGGGGATGAAGGGCTCGTCATATGAGGAGCGGTTGAGGACTTTGAGTCTGTACTCAATAGAATTTAGAAGGATAGGGAGGGGGACTCTCGTTGAAACTTACAGAATTTAAAGTTTTCGACAAGAATTGTAGCTCGGGTTGTAGTCATGCTCGCCGAGTCAGTGGGTTTGGTTGCAAATATTCCGTCACCCTGCTAGGTAACATTGTCAGGGTGACTCCGGTAAGGAGTTGGTGTTCGGTCCTGCTTGTTATTTATACGCCTCAGTTTGTTGGGGTGTTTGGTACCATTTCCAGATCTGTTTCTCAGTGGTTTGTACACAGGATCTAATTCAATGTGTTTGTTGACGGAGTTCTGGTTAGAAAACTGAGGCATATAAATAACAAGTGGGACAGAAGCCTTCCTGCTCTTATGATGCTGCTTGGCCTGCTGTGTTCATCCAGCTCTACACCTTGTTATCTCAGATTCTCCAGCATCTGCAGTTCCTACTATCTCTGGGACAGAACACTGATGCTTCACCAGAGGTGCACTGGTGATATTATGTAGCAGGATGATGAAACATTTGCAACCAAAGCCACTGGCTCGGCGAGCATATCTACAACCTCAAACTTACAGAATACTGAGACTCCTTAGATAGAGTGGGTGTGGAGAAGATGTTTCCATTAGTATGAGAGACTAGAACCAGCAGGCACATCTCAGAGTGAAGGGACAACCCTTTAGAACTGAGAAAAATGTTTATAGGATGAGACAAAAGAAAGTAGCCAGACGCTCATCTGGGCATGGACCTGCTGCACCGAATGTTGCTGTGTTGTATGTTCTGTGCAAGATGGTATGCCACATCTTAATATTTGTAAATTCTTCAATAAAATACCAAACAGTCTTGCTTACATACATTACATGCATTCTTAAAGGCCAAAATAAATATAACAACTAGAGTAAAGATTCAACTTTCTTATTATAGTTCACTGCAATTTTTTAACTTTAAACATCAGAAGTTTAAGTGCTTGATGGCCTGCTAAAATCAATATTTTGGTGCTATAGGAATTCCTGTCTGACAATTTACCAGTAAACATCTCACAGGGGTGGGTTAGCTCAGTTGGTTGGGTGGCTGGTCTGTGATGCAGAGTGAAGCCAACAGCATGGGTTCAATTCCTGCACCAGCTGAGATTACCATGAAGGACTCTCCTTCTCAACCTCTCCAAAAACCTGAGACGTGGTGATCCTCGGGTTAAACCACCACCAGTCGTTTCCTCTGAGAGAGCAGTCCAATGGTCCTATGGCAACTTTACCTTTAAGCATCTCAAAAATATCTTGGCGGAGAATTCAGAAACCCACTTTCTTGAAGGTTCATTACGCAAAGATTGGCAGGACTATGACTGAACTTGGTCGTTCACCAACCCAGAACATCAAGGGGCAATAGAGACAGTGTGATTGATAACGTCAGTGATTGAGATTGGATATTGCATCGCAGTACTCACCGCAAAGACTTTGCCTGTGGCTTGATCCGTTTAATTATTACGGGAGAATCAGAATCCTAACGTAAAGGTTCAGTTAAGATCTGGGAGGCATCAGTGTGCACCTACAGGGTAACAACAGGGTCTTTGCACAGGAAGAGCAGAGAAGAGCTCATAAATTGCAACTTCATAGAAGGCAAGGATGGGTAACTGTAATAATCTGGCCTTGTACCAGATGTTTAAAAGTGCAAGAGCTGGATCTTATGCAGTGGTTTTCAACCAGTGTGTCATGACAAGGTAAGAGATGTGCCCTGAAATTTTTTTGATCCTACTTTTGAGGCTCTGGAGCCTCAGTGTCTATTATCGAAGGGAGTATGTGCTGCCATTTGACACCGTGCATATGCAGTAGGGAAATCCACTTGGTTATGCAGCTGGTGTGCCTTGATACTGGAAGGATTGGGAACCCCCCCATGTTATGGACTGAACTTGGGAGGAGGTAATGTGGATGGATTGGCGGTGGGATGAAAGAAGAATAAAACTGAAACAGCAACCAGTTCCAGGATGTAAGCAGGATTTTGGGCAAGGAGATGACAGGAGAAAACAGGAATTGCAGCTGAATGCCTTTAGCTTAGTAACAGAAAGCAACAAAAAATAATTAAGGATGACTATAAGAGGAGGGGAAATTTTAGCATATAACACATTTTTGTAAAAGATTGCTGGAACAAGAGAGCTAATACTTGAATTGCAAACAAAAAATAACTTGTATTACCAGTTTCCAAAACCACAGTCCATCACTGCCTCAAGTAATGCCATTTCTTCCTGAGCAGTCCAGTTTGGATCCAAAATGGGGAAATCAGACGTCTGCATATAAGTCATGGAAAGAAAAAGAAAATGCGATTTATAGCCATCACTATATTTAATGAATTCCAAACTTTTAAGTAGAAGAATAGAATTTCTATTTTAAACTGGGGAAACCTTTGCACGTCACAATTGATCTACACCTGCCTGGAACTGAGGGGACAGGTGCTGCATATTCTCCAGTAAATGTTAATCTTGTGTACAAACAAAAAACAATTTTTGTTCAAAATCACACTTACTTTTCATGTATCGTGTGTATAAATCAACCCCAGGCCAAAAAATCCAAATTTTTCATACTTGCCACTCACTCACTGCTGTGGTCAAATGTACCCTAGTGTAAGCCTGTTCATTAACAGAATCAGCTATTTTTAATCAACCTGTTCGGCGATATTATTACACACCTCTAAAACAGGTGGGACGTGAATCTGGGCCCCCTGGCTCAGAAGTAGGGACACCAACGGTGGCAGATTTTCAGCTTTTGCTGCCTGTGAATATCAACATGTAATGTCAAAGAACACCTCGTTGTGTATGCTGTGCTCTGCCAATCTGCCTTCTCTGAAGAGGGAATTGCAGATGCACAGTCCGATTCAAACATGCCCAAGAATAAACAAACAAAGAGAGGAAGGCCTAGCAGCTGGAAATTGATGTTGCAAACATTATCAATGACAATTACAAGAATGAATCCGTTTCTTAAGGATTTATCCAAATTTTGCCCGGAAACAAAGAAGAAAATTAAGCTCTGGTGATTTCAAAACCAGCCCTGGGTGGTAAATCAATTTTGTGCTGTGACAGAAGACAAAAATTACATTGTGTCTCCCAGCAGAACTTGATGACAGTGTTACATTTAATGGGAGTCTATAATCAAACTCTGACAACGCAATGGATACAGATTGGTCTGCACTGGGGACATGGATTAGGTTCCCATGAATTTTGACAAGCCAGTCCATCAGATGGTGAGCAAAGCTAGAGAGAAAACTGGCCACGAAAAGAGTATATCATCATTATCAATGTCTGATGGGGCAAAGTTTAAGACAGTGGTTATATTCAAGGGGAAAAAAACTTCCCAAAACAACAATTTCCAAAAGGAGTAATCATTCACAACCACAATAAAGGATTGATAGATGAAAGCGACTTGAAAACACAGTTGAGAAAAGTCTAAGTTTCCAAGGAGGAAAAAGTAAAGGAATAAAGTCTTCTCATTTGGCACATTTTCAATCACAGACTGTTGTTCCTGAACTTAGATAGGACAAAGTGATATTGCAGCGATTCCTGGTGCTCTAATTGGTTTTGTCCAGTTTCGCCTATTAGGCCATCAAGGACAGCACGAGAAAAAAAACAGAATAACTAGATGACTGGAGAAGACTTCCATCAATGAAGGCAGCATATGGATATATTACCAACCCTGTGTGAATGGCATACAAAGGCCTGAGATGAAATTAAAATGTAGATTGTCACAAAATAATTCAACAAGTGTGAAATATCCAATATATCTGATAGCACAGATGATCACTTATGGAATGATGTTGGTGTATGTGACAACTGCTGAAGATGATCCTTACAATGATGCCATGCACAAAGCAGGCTTGGACATATTATATGGTTCTGAAAATGAGGAGCAGGTTGAATTTTATGGATTTCCACATTCTTAATGCATACACTGCTACTGAGTAGTACCTTTCAAAAAAAGAAATTGAGCTAAAATGCATAAATTTGAATAGCAATTCCGAGCAGTTCACCAATGATGTGTTCCCAGGGAAGGTTGCAACTGGTGTGTTTTGTAAACAGCACAAATAATTAACTTTGCATGCACAATACATGACACACGTGGTGTGCAATTTTACTCCAGGAAGAAAGCTTTTCCTCATTTTTTCTCTTTAAAACTGCAGGTAAGCAAAGATTAGATTCACAATAAGCAAACAGATGCACAGTGATAGTGTGCAGATAAGCTGATTTGCAGAACAGTGCGACTTATTCTTCATGGCTTTTGTTTTTGATAAATTCGATTAATTTAGAGTACACATTCAACATCTACGGAGGATATTATTTATAATTAAGATTCAGTAATAGAAGAACATTTTGGGTCTTTTTGCCTACTCTGAGGGTGGAGTTATTGAGAACAACTTCTGACTTAACAGCTCCACAATAGCAAGATGATGCGAGAGGTTCAGACTTTTAAAACGATTACTCACATAAAAGTCAACCACCTCACCTTCCTCACCCCAGGGTTGGCTAAAAATTTAGTCTCAGAAACTCAACTTGAAATAAATATATTCATTCAATCTATTTGCTCAATAACCTTGGTATAACTTATTTTGATAAATATATAAAAACATCCTGAGAGAAACAGATTACGTGGTCTTCTCTTCTTGGTATTATTTCTTTTTATGCACAACGCTCGACCTGCATGAAGGATGTTGGCTTGTCAACTATTGATGACAGCTGACCGAGAGCTCCCTAACACTCTAAATATCCTTATGTAATATTGTTATGCATCATAACAAGAATGTTAACATTCTTTTCCAATACCATGAGTTCTCCAGCTTTCATATAATTATATGTCTGCTCTACAATTTCATTGACTAAGTTTGAACTGGAATGGGTTTTCTGCTGTTCCTTCTTGATTGCATATTGCCTTAATATAGGGTGGAATTGGTGGAGGTTGATGTGCATAGGCAACTGAAGCTGAAAATAATATGTTTACCTTTAATGTCAGATACATTGGACTACAAGCTATAACTGAAATTATTTAAATATATGCACACCACATGCAGAACTGGATAAACAAATTATAACTAACAATAATGAGTGATCAGAACTTTCTTAACTACAAAATAAATTCTTTATTTGGCTACCTATTTAGAAGAGAACTTTAAAAATCTCTGTACTCACCATTATTTCATAACTGTGGTCACTTTCATGCTTCTTGTATTCAAACCCTCTAGTAAAGCACTACAAAACGAAAAGGACAAAAATATTTTAAAATACTGTTCTTCCCCTTAAATATTCCAAAGTAGCCTTCAGCACAATGATCTTATCAAGCAGTAAGACCAAAATTTATTTGGTTAAAATAACTTGAATATTTCTTCAGAATCTACCTTTTTTTTGTTCTCCAATAGTAACAATTGTAACCAAACCTTCCAAACTGATGCATAACCCACACCTTTTACAATGTTTTTCAATACGTACCAGTTTTGCATTTTATGGCTTAATACTATCACTATGTCATTTGACGGGACCAGCCAGATAAACACTGGATGCTAGAACAGATCAGAGCTGGGAATTCTGTGGTGAATAATTAACCTCCAGACTCCCCAGAACTTGTCCACCAACTCAAGACACAGATCAGAAGTGTAAAGAAAATCTCTCCCCCTCCTGGGTTAATGCATTTCCAAGAACAATCAAGAACTATCACGAACTATACATTATTTAGTTCAAAGCAGCCTGCTTGATTGGTGACCCATTCAGCACCCTATGTATTCACTCTTCGTCTCCAGTGACAGCAGTGTGTACAATATAACAAGCTGTACTGCAGCTATTCCCCGAAGACCCTTTGTTGGCACTTTCTAAACCTACAACCTCCACTACTTAGAAAAACAAAAGTATCAGTTGCACCAGTACATCCCACCGGCAAGTTCCCCTTAAAGACATCCTGATTATCTTTTCCTGTTACTGGTTCAAAATCCTGCAAATCCCTCCCTGACAACACGATGGGCATACCCACACAAAATGGACTGCAGTGGTTCAGATGGAAGCTTACCACTGCTCTATCTCAAAGAGAGAACCCAGGAATGGACAATTGCTGTTCTTGCTAGCAAAGCGCTCATCCCATCAAAGAAATTAAAAAAACGCTCAATCTTGAGATCGTTAGCTAGTATTTCAGAAAAACTCAAGCACAAAATTTGACATCAAAGGAGGACAAAAACGACTTTTTAAGTTCAGACATGAAACTGCAGCAGAATCAAAGAAGTGAACAAATTTAAAATGACTAATGACCTACAACGATTTTCTGTTTTGTCAGTAAAATAAATTATAAATGACTTGATTGTTTTTGAATTAGCTTTAATGTGCCGCCATTTATTGGAGCTAAATTACTACTTTTACTCAATGATGGATCTAGAGGGTTGGTGATGCGGGTTCGGAAAGCCAAACTTCAGATTTAGTCAACTTGGCAGTAAGTCGACTGAATTAGTGACTGGACTTGTAAAATCAGAAAATGAAGCTTGTAGTTATTCAAATTTGCAGACCAAACTTTTTTCTTTAAAAATATTATTCACTGGGCATAGGCATCAATGGCTGGGGTTGGATTTACAGTCCACACCTAATTGCCTTGAAAAAGTGGTAATAATCTGCCTTCTTGAATCACCACAGTCCACGGTGGGTAGATATAGCCACAGTGCTTTTAGGAAGGGAGTTTCTGACTTTGACCCAGTGATGCTGAAAGAACAGCAATATAATCCCAAGTTAGAATGAGGTATGGATTGGAGGGGAACTTGCATGTGATAGTGTTTTCCATGCATCTGTTGCCCTTGTCCTCGAAGATGGTAGAGGTCATTGTCAAAGGAGCTGTGGTGAATTGCTGCAACATGTCTCATGGATGGCATAAGGTGATGCCACTGTGCATTGGTGGTAAAGGGCATTAATTGGTTAAGATGGTGAACAAAATACCAATCAGAGTGCTTTGTTTGAATAACGTTGAGCTTCTTGAGTGTTGCTGGAGTTGCACTTATCCAGGCAAGTGTAGAGAGCTCCATAATATTCTTGACTTGTGCACTGTGAGTGCAGGACAAGCTTAGCAGAATCAGGAGGCAAGTTATCACTGCAGAATTCCCAAGCCTCTGAACTCGTTTTGAGGGCACAATATTTATATGGCTGGTTCAGTTCTGTTTCTGGTCAATGGTAACATCAGGATGTTAATAATAGGGTATTTTGTGAAAGCACTGCCAATGACTGTCAAGGGAAGATGGCTAGATTCTCTCAAAGCATTATGGTCATCATCTGGTGCAAATGTTACTTGCTACTGTAAGCCTGAATATTGTCCAGTTCTTGTTCCATAAGAATATACGTTGCTTCAATAGAGTTGTCACAAATTATGCTGAACATCGTGGAAACATCCCCAGTTCTGACCCTACGATGGAGGGAAGGTAATTGATGAAGTAGCTGAAGGCAGTAAGGCTCGTGATACTATCCTGAGGAACTCTTGCAGTGATATCTCAGAACAGGGATTATTGACTTCTAACATCCACAACTATCTTTCCTTGTGCTAAGTATGACTTCATACAGCAGAGAGGACACCCCCAAATGCTTAATTATTATACTAAAAAAAAACATAATTGCTGACTGGGAGCAGCAGGGAATAAGAAAAAGAACAAATCACATGATCACATAGCCTAGTTACTTTTCATATTGTGGGATTGATTTTCCTGATGTAAATCAATGAAACATCACCTTTCTCAAAATCTTAACTATTTGTATTAGTTTCAACTGTAACGTCTGCACATACGATTATTGCTGAACCTGCAATCAAAGGGTATGAAATGTAAGCATGGAAGACAAATGTATTACGTTCAATCTCTTATAAACTCAATTAATGGTAGTGTACCTGTAAACATATAAGTAGTGGAGGAGGTCCACAGTCTGCACACTTTATGTAGGGTTCCATTAGATAAGAGGAACATCCACGACATGGTGGTTGATCAAAGGGGTCACCTGAAATAAAGTCAGATCAAGGCAATTCAGCAAATGATATTTCCAAATAGTATGCATAGATTTAATGTTACAGTAAATATTCGTATAACAAATCACCTTGTGGTGTCTGTAACAGTGGAACTGCTACATTTTTATGCAACCATCAGAGCCATTCCAACAACTACCTACAAACCAGTTCTCATATATTTTAGGTAATTCTCAATGTGAACATGAGATTGCCATACCAACCATGAGAAAACCACACAGCAGCTTGTATATGGACGTTAGCTTTTCAAACTTTTCAGCACCCCAAGACAAATCTTTTAAGTCTGAGAAATGCAAAATACCCTGAAAATGATCAGCAAGTCAGCCCATCACTGCGATAAGAAAAAAGTTTGTGCATTTCTTTAGACCTTTAGTGAGTACAGGATGTATCAAAGTTTCTTGTGGATACAAACGATGGAGGGAAGGTAATTGATGAAGTAGCTGAAGGCGGTCTCTGAAAAAAAACACTTTTAGCTGTATAACACTAGGTTGCAGTACTGGCAACTACAAGCAATGCAGCAATGGTAGCAACAGTTTGAATAAAATAATTTCAAAGCATCAATGAAAAATCAGATACATGAGCCTTGTGTTAAAACAATGATTCAAAGTAATTTTTAAAAATTGAGAAACATAACATGAAACATGACAACTGGATTTGTAACAACACTATTATATGCATATACATTATTAATACAAACATTTTTGCTCCCTATATAGAGTTTCCGATCAGGAAATGGGTCATTACAGACAAGTGCGTAACTTGGAAAAGAAAATGCCAGAAATACTCAGCAGGTCAGGTAGGATGGTGAGAGAGAGAGAATTAAGATTTTAGTTTGATTATCTGTCAACAAAAATGGAAAACATTACAGAAAGTAGAGGGGTGGGAAAATTGGGGAAAGGGAAAGAACAGAAAAAAACTTTGTTAATTGGGTGGAAGGCAAGAATAATTAAATGCCAAAAGATCAATCATTTTAGCACTCCTTTATTCCACACTATAAGAACTTCCCTTTCATTGTAATCTCCTTTCCTGACCAATGTACTTGCTTAAATCCCTGTAAAATTTGTAACTTTTTTTCCCAGTTCTCATGAAACGTTAGAGACCTGTAGCACTGACTATTTCAATGTCTGCAGATGCTGCCTAACCTGCTGAGAATTTCCAGCACATTCTTAATTTCAGATTACTGATATTGGCAGAATTTTGCTTTTGTACACAGCATATGTGAAGTACTCCATGATCTAATTTTTTTTGCATGGAACTATGGGGAGTAATGGAAAATGCTGTTTAAAAACCTAGAGGTAAAGAATGTGACTTTCAAAAGGTTCTTTGGACATATGCAGCATTAGTTTTTGGAAGGTTTTGAAATATTTTCACATTAATTCTAGGAGGAAATAGAGAAAATCTGAAGACAAAAATGCCCCTAATTTGAAAAAAATTAGAAGCAACATGTTTTTTTGACTGGCTAGATATGGCATGGTGGAAGGGGAGAAGAAATACAACAGGACAAGATACCAGTTTGCAGCAAGTGTTTTTATTTCCTTTCCCCTTTCATATAATCTTTTAATGCCTCAGCAACCTACCCTGGTGTAATATGTGTTTCCCCAGTTGTAAAGTTTGAGTGGTGCTCTGGTTGCATAATAGGAAACTGCTAGATAAACGTGCTTTTACATCTAGATTTTACTTTGGCGAGTTAAGGAATTTGTTAAGAATTGGACTGCTTTCCCTGACAGTTCTTTCATGGAGGCAAAATACTGAAATATAAAACAGAAATACTGGAAACCATACATAACCTTCTCTCATGCATTTACTGGTCTGTCTTTGCAGCTTTTTCCTGCTTTTGTGTTTCAGTAATTTTATTTCACAATAAGACTTACATAAAATTGCACAAAGACAAAAGTAAAGATACAGACACAGGAGTAAGGTAGGAAGCATTAGTGGCTGGATGTTTGCATCCACAAGAAACTTTGATACATCCTGTACTCACTAAAGGTCTAAAGAAATGCACAAACTTTTTTCTTATTGCAGTGATGGGCTGACTTGCTGATCATTTTCAGGGTATTTTGCATTTCTCAGACTTAAAAGATTTGTCTTGGGGTGCTGTTGAAATATTACGGACGCCGGAGGAAAGGGCAAAACGAAAAGTTTAAAAAGGGCAGCAATTCAAACGATGGACGAAGCTTCTCGACGAGCAGCCCAATTCAACCGAGGTACCTGTTGTCCCAGTTGACATGAACCAACCTTGCCTGGGTCTGTTACAGCTCAGGTCACACAGCTTGCCTGCACTTCGCTCTGTGGCCATCAGAAGCGAGGGAGAGCTAATACACAACACACGTGGCATATTCTCCTGAC